TTTTTTTATAAATTCTCCGTTATAAAAAACTATACTAAATGTCGACTAGTTACGCGTTATAATCATTCTACTAGGAATAGAAGAAAGATGCAAAAACAATGTTTGACAATATAAAACTTGTGCTTCCAAACTTCCTTCCTTCCTCCCAATCTGCCAATGAATGTGAAAGAATCGCATTGTGTGGTCGGCACCTCATGTGCTTATTCCGCTGTGATTGCGGGATGTAGTTCATCGCAGGACCCCTCCATTCCAACCAACCTGCCATACCGATGCACACCTAGAGCGTTGCCCTTCGTCTGCGCTTGCCCCGACAATAACGTAATAACTATCACTTGGAAGTTACAATATTTTTTGATTTTGTACGATTGTAGTGATCGCAACTCCAAATTACTTTACAATTACACGATAGATATGAGTTTATTATTTTAATAATAAATAAATAATAATAGTGTATTTGGTCAGTACAACCATTTCTATTTATCTCGAAGAAGGTTGTCAATATAATGCTCAAACATTTTTGCTATAACTATAGCTTAGTTGGGGTCATCTAAATGAGCTTATATCTTCAATCTATCTCTCTCTGATTCTTCAATATTTTTTTGTGGTTTGTGTTTTTGTTGGTCGCATATAACCTTTAGCATCACCGGGTGCGGGCGCGGTCCTAGGAGACCTCAAGCCGGGTAATCACCCCACTTCACCTGATGTTAAGTAAGTGGAGTCCATTCGCGAAGATGCTACAGAAGATGTGGCGCTCAAGCCATTTTCACCTAGCCGGCTGCAACCCAATGTGTAGGAAATTGGGTCGAAGCCGGCTAGGCGGCCCGCAGAGTCCTGGAATTCTACTCACCAGCAGAAACAAGAGGTAGTGTTATTTTACTGTCGTCTTCTGTAAGGTAAAGGTTTCTTCCCCACATGGGCGCTACTATTCGTAAGGAAAATCCTCTATGCCCTACCTCTCTTAAATACCAATTTATACCCTAATGATGTACATACACATTTGGCACAATTCGTTGGCCGAAATCAATAGTAACACACAATGTTTGAGTGTCCGATAGGGCAATGCCCCATTTGTATGGGAATTTAGATTAACATGGACAGACATTATATGAAGTAAAACTATATAATGCAAGAAGCTTGAATTACCTAGAACCTTTTAATCATTATAATTTTGTATCAGTATACTTTAAAACATTTTTTAGCACCGCAAAGAAAATAGGTAATATGCACAAATCATAGATGAATGATTGGTCTCGCTTCACGAGACCAATCATTTATCTATGGCACAAATAAGTCATTTTTGTAATATAATATTCGAAGTCATATATTATCAATATGATGTTTAGACACTGCGTAGATACATTTTATGTTACACAATTTAATAAAATCGATAATAAAGATCTATTTCTTAAATAAGCCGCGAAAAAAATAAATTTGCATAAGATGGCGTGCGACGTCACATGCATATTACCAAATCTCTAAACGAAATAACGTATCTTTAATGTTATTTTCCAGCTTGGGTGCGTTCCAAACTTACGCTACAAGTGCAACTTTTTTTACTCTGACGTTTCAATTTTATGACATAATTATGAAACTTCTATCGAATTTGACATTTGTTTAAGCTGGAGCGTAGGTTGTTGCGTTGGTTTGGTTTGGAACGCAGCCCATGTCTGCAAATATCATCTTGGACCATAGTCTTGGAACAGCTTGGACCGGTCTATCTTAGCCGTTTTCGCTGACATGAAGTGATGCCAACTTAAATTCGGCTTATCATAGCCGTTCTCGCTGATATGACGTGTTGATAAGTTAAATTCGGCCTAACACAGCCGATTTCGATCATGTTACATTAGATAACTAAAGCAGGGAGTGATCGTATTATTTTCATTTAATTTCATTGTATTATAAATGAAGCTCTCCACTATATTACGGTTCTAGAAATTTATTAAAAAATAATATTGTAAAATGCTTGTTTGCCATATTTGCCAACCAAAGGACATTCATTTGAAAGACCTTTCCTATCTGTGCTTGAAAGCTGACCATAATAACAAAATTAACATCGCATCATAGATGTATAATTCGAAAATTGTTCTTCGCAATCGGGGTACAGAATACACTACTTTTGTTATCTGAATCTAACATTAAGACCGCCTTTATTAAGTCAGTAATAAGAACGATATTTCTAGTACAAATGTGTTATTTGTTAGTTCGTTGTCTTGTTTGCAGGTATTATTCAAAAAATTATCGTGTCCCGAATAGGGTTGCCACCCGTATTTTATTATACAGTATTGTACGTTATTTCGGGTGATTGTACTCTATACTTTATGCCAACAATAAAGTAGGCAAAAATACTTTATTTAATGTGATTTGATTACTTGGGGATAAATTTTTCATAAATATACAAAAAGCGGATAGGAAGAATTTTTGCGTAAAACGGAACAACAGTATGTATAATATGTCGCCCTTACCTCATTCCTACAACATTGTCGCGGCTGTATGGCTATGTACAATGGCCTTTCCCATTGCCGATAAGAACTACAGATTTTTAGTAGCCACAAATTATTTATTAAAAGTTGCTTTAAGCAGCGTAAAATATATTTTTAAACTTACCTACTAATAAAGCGGAATAAAAAGTGTATTTTGGATACAATGTACTTTTTTTTCTACCTTCAATATCCGATGTACTTTATTTGCACATAAAAAAGGTGGCAACCCTGTCCCGAACAATGGGTGAGGTTTGATATTTTAAGGAGTGTACATAATTGTGCTGTCATCGAGACCGTATTAGTAGTTCTGGACACTGAATGGCTTATTTAAATAGCCGGTAGACCGTTAAGGCTCGCCTTGCTAAATTGGAAGGGTCTAATGGTGTTATACATAACAATAATGTGCACGTACAAACATAAAAAAGGTATTTATATTTTTGGATTTTAAGCATTTAACTGCTATTTGTTTAAATCCAAAGAAAATTTTACTAGAAAAAATTTACCCGAAGCAGGCAGCAGACGGACCTCGAACCCGTGTCGAATGGCGCTGCCTGGCAGCCTAAGGCTAGAGAAAATTCGACACGGCCGTCAGGGCCGCGGTAGTATAATGTTCGAGTCCAGTCTGCTGCCTAGTCCGCGTGGATTTTTTTCTAGTAGGTAAGTGTTTTGTGTTACTTCGGAAATGGTAACTCTTTTGCGACTTTGATTTTATTAATTTAAGGATCATATCCATTTGATTTGGAGGTCTGAATCTTAAGTACCGGCTCCAAGGGGCTTCTTCTAAACGGCTTATTAACTTTTGATCATTAGTATCATTTTATCATCCTGAACGTTACCAAGTAACCGTCAAGTCATTATTTTGCGGCATGTAGTAGCCAATTTCCAATATCATTCATACCGAAACCATCAAAAATTTAGCTAACCATACGGCAAACAGTTATTTTTGCATTTATAATATTAGCTGTCGATGTACTTACTGTGTACTATGATGTGATTGGTGACAATGACAATCAGTGCGAATCACCCTTTGTTCCAGTTGGCTGTTCTCACGGTCGTATACGGTAATTTAATTAGTGTTACATCTATATAGACGGGATATTCACTATTCATAATTTTTGATCCGGCGAAATGAGAATCCGTCCTTTCGCGTATGACCAAATGGTTAAGAATAGAACGTTAACTATTTTTCATACCCATAAGTGCTCACTGATGGATATGATGGACTCCTCAGTCCATCATGTCCATCAGTGAGCACTTAGAGGACACGTGGCCTGATCGCGTCAGGATACGTGACCTAATCGAAAATTCGTAAGACGAAAACAATAAAATTGGAAAGGTTGTTGACTTTTAATATATTGGACGAAACATAGTAATATTTTATTTTATCGTATTATAATAATAAGTCTCTAACGAGGACGTCCAGGTGACAGTTTTATTGCGAAGAAAATGCATTTATTTACAATAGATGTCGCTAGGTGCGCTTAAATGTGATTCATGTAAGTTTATTTTTCTGAGAGATAAACTTTTTAATGTAATATAAATTGTCATGTTTGTATACGATAGCGCCATAAACAAATATTGTATTCTACCACATAAATGATAGTACTTTTCTACTGATAATAAAAGCAATTTGTGCAAAATTATTCCCTAACCATTCCAAAATATCAAAAATGCACAACGTTAAAATTCAAGTTTTCACTTCTACCGGCACTCCCGGAGTGCAACCCGTCGTTTTTAGTTTTTTTGGACATCATTATTGTTTTATTTTGTTTATGATTCGTCATTAAAATATACTTACAACCCTATATTTTCACCCTTATGCCGTCAACACCTATTTTTATGGTAGTACAAAGATCGCTGGGTCACCTAGTAATTTTATATACTTAATTTATTATGTTTTAAAAATACCACACACTACCATCTGTTCAAGACACATACACAATTCAAAGTATACTCCCTAAACCGCCAATTCTGAATAACAGAACAACAAACTCACTCTCGCATTTATAATATAAATAAGATTGGATATTACTTAAATAATAAACACAATGTGTGTACAATCATATTTATTATTGCATGTCTTATTGATAAATGAGGTTGAAGGTGTGATGGTAACTTAGAAATTATCTTAGAATGAAATTGTGTTTAATTAAACACTGTCTTAACATTGCAATGTGATTCATACTTAAGATAGACTATATAAGATTTAAGAAAAAACTTAGCTTGGGTTTTTTTTTAATGCTTAATAGGCAAGGCGTTTTTACACAATCTTGCTTGATGGAAAGCGATGATGAGGCCTAGGATGGTACACGCCTGCCTAGAAGATGCCTCTTCATTCTGGCCTTGAAGATGTCCAGATTATATTGGTCCGGGAAAACAGGCTATCGCGTACTAAAGATGTCAACTTGCTATTTTTAGTCATCAACCTAAAACAACTGTCACAGATAAAGATAAGGGAATTTATTTTTACTAAAAGTAATAAATCACAATACGTTATTTTCTTAAACATATTATTCAAATAAATATCAATACATCTAAAGGAATTTTATTTTAAATATGCTTTACTTATAGTTATTTGAATGTTAATTAAAATAAAATATGTCATCTAAAGTCCAGCATATTACTGGGCCATCATTAATAAATATTAAGGACTTACATTGAATTTATTAATGTGTATGAAAAAAACAGATGAATTAAATTTTTAAATTTGTTACATTTTCATGCACAGCGCTGTAGATTTATTGCAATTTACATTGATTCAAGTCCCACTATTGCAGTTCTTTATTACTTGTAAACTGTACAAAATATAGCTACCTACTTTGATGATTTTTGCATTCACACTGCTTTACAAATTTCATAATAGGTACAATAAAAACTCATTGAAAAACCTGCGCAGACGAGAGAATTTTGTCCGCCAAAATAGTTTCACTTGCAACATTACAACTGCATCGAGTACACATGACGGATTTAAAGTCCCCCTACCAACCGAGCACACCGAGAGACCGGAGGACTAAACAAAAGTATGCGGGTGTCCCCAAAAAAAAATATGTGGACCACACATCTGAAGAGAAACTTCTTTTCTTAAATAACCTCACATTAGGCGGTGCATAAGGCTTTTCCACCAGAGATGTGCTATGCTACGTTGCGATGGATCGATATCCACCAATCAAATTCATTGGTCCACATAGCATAGCACTGGTGGAAACGGGTTCAACTAAGCTATGTTGTACATACATACAACGTTACCTACAATGTGAAGAAATGGCGCTACCTTGCAGCTTAAGGATGGCTAGAAGAATTTCGACGCGGCCGTCAGGGCCCCGGTAGCATAATTGGTCGGTGCATTCGCCCGGATTGCGAAGGGTACGGGTTCGAGTTTCGTCTGCTGCCTGGTCCGCGTAGATTTTTTTCTAGTTATATTTTCTTTAGATTTAAACATCAAGCAGTTACATGCTTAAAAAATTATAAGCTATGTTTTTTATATGAAAGAATGCGTGCTACGGATGCGTGCTCTGGATGCGGGCTATGATGGCCGCGAGTGGTGTACATAGCTATATCAAGAGAAGAGTGCCCACGTTTGTCGCTGAAAGTAGATATGCTACTACACGCAGCTACTTACTAGCTTAGCATCAGTGGAAACGGTCACGTAGTTTCGCAGCTTAGCTGACACATCTTCGCAGCATAGCAGCATTGCACATCTCTGGTAGAAAATCAGCCTAAAGCATAGGGGAATGGAACAACGCACGCATCACACACACACATATACATATATATATATATATATAGTCGTGTGACGCTCGTGACGCATTTCCGTTTCATGTTTTTCATAGTTTATTTTTCCATTTACACCCCGTCCGAAAAGAAGTTTGTCAATATCATGTGACTAGGTGTAGTAACACACAGAGAGAACTTTAGTGCACGTTGCGTGCTCGATCCGATTCAAAGAGACGGACCCAGTATTCTCTTTTCAAACGTCTTCACTTTATCTTAAACTTCATGTTAATTACAACACAACGTAATCTGAGAATGTTCACTTCCAAAGCGTGCACTTCTCTCAATTTTAGGCCAACAAATGTCGAGTCCGTGACATCCCCTCGACCGACATTTATTCCAAAATCAAAAGAGTTTTGATCCTCGGAGGACAAAAGTTCTTCGTCTGCGCAGGCCATTATAGGTACACAATAATTGTCTGACATTAACAAATTAAAATTATCTTAATTAATTGTGTCAGCAGATTATTATTTGTAAGCGGACTCAGTCAACACCTTTATCGGTTATAATTCTAGCGGCATTTCAACTATATTTCCAGTCATACAATGTAGACAATGATAAAATTTTCGCGCAACCATTTATATCTGTTATCATTCAAGTCCTTGAGCTATTTTATACGGACTGAATTGAATAGTTTAATGAAATAATTTTATTGCAATAGCTTTGGTGTTAAATGGTGTTAATTAGTTAAAATCGTGACAATAACGCATTAACTTATGAATAAAACGTGTGAATGTATAACATTTATAATACTACGTGTTTATTTGGTTCAATATCTCTCGATGTAAAATGACAAAATTAAACTATGCCTAAAGAATGTTATTTTATACATTTAAATCGGTGCCTCCATTCGTCCAAGAAATAATTTACATTTAAAAAACTAAGAAACAAATATTAATTTCAACAAAATATTATAAAATTCTACTCTCACGCAGGAAGTCAGCCACCCAGGCACAGAACTGAGCAGGCAGACCGTATGCAGGAAGATTGGAGAGAAGACTTTTGTGCCCAGGCCATGTCAAAAGCCGCAATGTCAAGGCTGATATTCAAAGACTCGACCCGCGTGTCAATAGATAGCCTCATCACAGATATGTGTCACGTATGCTAGAAGGTCACCATCACCCGTCGATCGATTCGGCCTAAATCCGTATTGACGATCGTGGATCAGACTGGTTTTCTAGTTAGCGGGTCATTATGGTTATAATAGACATTTGTACAACACTTAGTTGACATGCAGCTATTGGTTGATAGACGTCAGTCTGAGCGATTCCATTTTTGGGCATCGGCTGCACATTGGCATCTCTGGGTAATCGGCATACGCCCCAAAGAGTACGAGAGTTTGTCCAGGCTTGTAGGCACGTGAGACAACTGCACTGCACAATGTTTCAGTACAACTGCTGGGATGCCATGGGGTCCACTTGCTTTCCGTACGTCGAGTCGTTGCAATTCCATACGAAAATCACGCGGCCTGATTTTAATATGAAATTCTCTACTTAATATACTCTACTTTTAAAAAGAGATCAAGAGTAATAAATTTTAGAAATCACCAAAAATAATTATTTTAAAGTCTATATAATTTATGGCACTCTAAGAAATTAATTGCAGCTATCAATAACATCTTATCGTTCCCAAGAATCTCCTACAAACCAATTTTCGGTCACTTACAAAATTACCAATTTATTAACTATTTTTTTTCATAATTTTATTCTACCATTTTGTCGACGTGATTGATATACATATCTTCACAAAATTACAGCTCTCTAGTGCTAACAGTCTCCAAGCAAGACCGGACAGGCGAACATGACGAAATATAAGGGTTCCTTTTCAGGACTACGGAACCCTAAAAAACAACTTTATCTTTCGATATCCATTGGTTTGAAAAAGATGCTATATCCCTATCTCCTTCAAAAATGTCTTAATCGAGAGATTTATCATTACTTGTATGACTATTTTCATTTGATGTTATTCTTTGTTTTTCTCCTGATTCATTTCTATCATTTGTTTGCTTATCTTCTAAATCACCAAGTTCATCATCTTTAGTTTCAATTATTGCGGTATTCAAACATTTTTTTTCTATTGATTTCCTTTTAACATTATCAAAGGACAGCCTGCCTATCCAGATCTCCCTGATTTCATCAAAACTGTACTCGTACATGCCAGGAATTGGTTTATCTTCACGAGGGTCATAATTGTATTTCTGTATGAATTCATTTTGGTCCTTTAATATTTCCTCTTTAATTTTTATGGAATTATTGAGGTCTTCTTCATCATCTCCATCTTTGGTGAAGATTTGACGGCATATCGCTGGCTTGGGATTCCGATCCATAGTGAGCTGGAACAAAGAAGGTGAAATTTAATAGTGTATAAAAGAAAACACTTCCATAATTGAAGATTTTTATTCATCACCTGGCTACCTAAAGCTTTTTTATTAATTTGGGTACTTAATTCCATTATATGTAATTGAATTTCGGGGTAATTTGTAGGGGAGGGGGAGGGGGGGCTCCCCCGACCACCCCGCCATAAAAGATTTTTGGCGGGAATGCAGTTTTTTTTAACTAACCTAAAAATTCATTAAATCTGTTAAACGTAGTGGAATTTCAGGGGGATAGGTATTAGGGAAGACCCCTCAGAGGGAAGGGTTTTTTTTACAGAAATGATAATTATAAAAAAATAGAGGGGTTTTAAAGGTAAAACTGTACTTCCAGGGCCTAGAGGTGATATTTGATTTTTTTGTAGAAAAAGTCTCTATTAACGAATTTTTGTTTCTGGCGCTTCGCCGGCCGCTGCTGCGGCACGCTCGCTTCGCTCGCTCGGCTCGCGCGTTAAGGTCACAACACTAACCTAACCTAACCTAGTGTGAAGTATCACCACACAAGCGGCTCATTAGAGTTCAAAACTCGCACTACACTCGACTCTTCAGGCGAAGAGACAGCAGAACTCGAGGCCGAAGGCTTTGAGGATGCCATGGTAGTCAGACGATGTTAATATCAACAGGAGTACGAAAAAGCTCTCAACTGCGACGAACACAAACACTGACTGACAGATCTCATTAATGGAGGTAAATTGTCACATTTTGACAATAGTACCAACATAATAAACTTATATTTACCATAGACAACGAGAAACATGTTACTTTTGCATAAAAAAATGGCAGCACTGATCAACATTAACTTATAACCTACAAAAATATTAATTTTCAATAATTTTTTTCTCGAGTTCTATTCGTTTCCGCCTAAAAAGTTTTCGTGTGCGTGTATTTTATAGTTAATACTTTGCGTGACCAAAATTTCAGCTTGCAACTCAATCACATAATTATAATGGAAAGCTGAGCCTTAATTTGGACGGGGAAAGTTTCTGCGACATAGATAAATTGAGTTTTTTATAATCGCATCATTACTTTTGACAAAAAGACAGACTACAATGGGTCTGATTCTGTTATGACTTATCTTAATTGAACAGTCATTTTGAAAATGGTCTCTTCTTTTCATTCTGTATGGCTAGAGCAAGACAAGGTTACGCTGTTGCCATTATGCCAGAATTAATAATAATAATAATAAAGTTATTTATTTTCACTCCAAATTACAATTATTCCCTTGAAACAATCAGTGGATGCATTCATTGATTTTCTAATATTAAGAGGAAATTGTGGCCAAGATGTGCCTCTCTAGATATCTTGAAAACATCGTAAGGCTATAATCCTTTTTTAGGCATCACCATATGAACCCCATTTTTTATGAAATGTTACATACCCTTACAGTAGATACGTGTATAATTCTCGAACAAACTATTATCGATGTACATTAAGAATTTAAGTAGAATTAAATCTCACACACCTGTTTAAATAATGACGTTTTATCTGTCACAATATGACATCTAAATATGCATTTTCTGTTTTAATAATATAGAGAACATAGGTACCTCTTTCTTTAATATCTGTGGTCTAGGACCTAGGCAATTGTGGTTGTTCAGTTTTAAATTCATTAATTACATGTTTTACTGATTGGTTTGATGTTAGGACAATAAAAATAAATGATATTAATATTCCTAAGGATATTAGCAGGGTATTTATTGTGCATTAATACAAATAATATAAATAAATAAAATAATATTAGCACGAGTAATACTTTCATACTTTGCTCAAACACATCTAAGCCATTAAGAATAATAATTATATGAAAATACTCAAAAAAAAAAAACAAAATTACTCAGGATATATATTTCAAATCTCATTATAAAAACAGATACCCTTACTGAGATTCGAACTCGATACTATGTGAGGAGATCGATGGCGCAAATGGTTAGCGCGTTTGGCTGTGATCGTTGCAGTTAAGCAACTTTCGCAGTGGGCGGGCACTGGATGGGTGACCAAAAATTTACTGTCTCTCACTCCTCCATGCTTCGGAAGGCATGTTATCCGTTGGTTCCGGCTGCATCTGCAATCGTTTGCACCTACTATTCCGCACTGGGCCCGCGCTTTAGGTTACGGCCCGATCTTCCTATTCTATCCATATGGAAGGCCTGTGTCCCAGTAGAAGCAGTGGGGACATTAATAGGTTGGTGATGACTATCTGACAGTAGGAAGAGGTGCTGTCTTTGCAGAAATGTATGTAATCCTATTATACTACTAATAATTATTACGTATTATAACCGCGAAAGTTTTTACTGTTTTGTGTGGATGTTTTTTACTCATTTATGCTAAAACGGCCAAACGGATTAGGATGAAACTTCGCATACATATAGATTATTACCTGGATTGACACATAGGATACTTTTTTCCTCAAAAAATTCTTTGCTCTTCTGATTCTCAATAAAACGAACTAAAACGGGGATGAAGATTGAAAAAGCTAGAATGAAAGCTAGTTAAATATATAGCATTAAAAGACAATTGCAGGAAGTTGAGGAAAGAATTCTAATTGTTCTAGGTATTCGAAGTTCTAGGTACTGAATCAAGCTGGGTTTATTGATGCGTGAAGTCCGATCAACATTTAGGTCTTGTTCAGACGACACGCGCAGGCTACGCGCAAGCCCCGCGCGTCAGCATTCGCGTTCAACACTCTACGAAATTGGTTGTACAGAATTTGAGTCTTATGATACTTCAATAAAGCTTTAAATCCATTAATCGAAATTCAAAAACGCACGCACCGCATACGCCACACACACGCCAAGTATACTCATTATTATAGTAATATAAGTTATTGACGGGATTGTTACCATGTACCTTGTTTTTAGCGAGTTTCCGATATTTCGGCACTGTTGCAAGCGCCATGATCAGTGCCGAAATATAGTAACATAGATAAATATCGGAAACTCACTAAAAATAAGGTACATGGTAACAATCCCGTAAATAACTTATTTTACTATAATGTTAGTGACCATGGAAGTTTAAAACAATATATTATACTCATTATATCCACGCAATAAACGCAATTTATTAATGTGTCTTAAGACTCAATTTTATGCAACCAATGCATATATTCAGCAAATGTTGGGGGTACATTTACAAGAAAAGAAAAAGAAAAATGGCGAGTGCGTTTTCGGCGCGGGTCATCTGAACACGCCCTTACGCATTGCTCTACTATAAGTAGGAGTTCGCGAGTTCGATGTTTACATTACGATCGTATTGTAATTTTGGCCGATGTAAACAAAATGGCGGGTGTGACGATTGATAGAGTGCAGTGTGTACACCTACAAGAGGTGAGGTTAAAGCTAACGGGCGTGTTGCCTTGAATTCCACGCATGTTTATTGGCTCAAACCAAAATTAAACCGTGCAAAACAGACATCAGGTTTCTTTAATGTAATCAGATTTCTGCATTGGTTATTTATTTCAACTCTAATTCCTTGCGGGGAAGCTTAGCTATTTCAGGTGTCCATCTCGAAGGTAAGAAATCATAATCATCATCATCAGCCTATTAATGTCCCCACTGCTGGGGCACAGACCTTCCCTATGGATGGAATAGGGAGATTGGGCCATGACCCACCACGCGGGCCCAGTGCGGATTGGCTGGTGCTAACGACTGGAAATTTAGCCGGGACCAACGGCTTAAAGTGCCTTCCGAAGCACGGAGGAGCTCGAGATTGTAAATTTTGTTCACCCATTCAAAGACCGACCACTGCGAAAGCTGCATTACTTCAACGATCGCAGCCGAACGCGCTAACAACTTGCGCCATCAAGCTCTAAGCTCCAAGGCAAGACATCGATAAACAATAAGAGTCAAGTATCAGTGTATTAAACCACCGCTGTCAGTCTCTGTATGAACCTAAATTTATAATTTAGCATTGCCATCACAGACCTAGATTGAACTGAGTAGACGCCGTTTGTTGGTACATAAAATTGTATGGAAACCGAGCAAGTCAGATTTTGGGAATCTGACGAGAACAAATAAGTGGTGAAAAAGGTATGGGCCCCAGTCATCTATTAGTTAATAAGGAAATAGTTTTAAGATATAGTTAATATTAAAAAAAAAACGTGTTCACAGACGACACATCAAGTGACTCTTAAATAACCTAACATTAGGCGGTGCATAAGGCATAGGGGAATGGAACAGCGCACGCAGCACTCATATATATATTTAAATTACCGCGTGTGACGCTCGTGGTAGCGTTTCAGCATTGGTCGAGTTATCCTTCAAATTTCATGCTTGCCGGGTAGAGCTGCGCAGCCCGCATCTCCCGCAGATTTTGAAAATATATAGATAAATACCAAATTTTTTCACTTGACCATTCGCAGAAAAAAAAAAATTCTATACATATATAACACATATGAAACGGAAATGCGTCACGACCGTCACATGAATATATATATATATTTATATACATATATATTTGGACACTCGAAGTACTGCACATGCGCTATCTATTTAGATTTATGACTGATTGTCAGCTTATAAGTTTTTATAACTCATAGTGAGCGAATCGGATTGCGCGTTATTTTTAAAATTCTGTAGCTGTGATTTTTTTCGCTCTTCGGATTATATATTAAATTAATTATTCTTTTCTCCGTATTAGTGCAGTAACCTTTTGGTACGGTTTGAGATTAACTGTTCCGTTACATGAATCCGTTAACTCTTACACGAATGTGATCGAAATGTTTCAACTTTACCGGCCTTTGTTTTATGGCGGTATAGAAATATTTGATAGCTTTGTTAGTTGAGAACTATTCTTGAGTTTTCCTGGTATTCTTATTCTTGAGTTCGATGTATCGAGTAGTTTGGAGATTTAAAGTTAGAAATATTTGAAATTATTAAACTTTCTACTCCTTATTAAAGGTGTAAATTCAATTTGGAAGATAATTTTAATATGCATTCAGAGTAATGTTTGCTATTCCCAGAACT